GACGGCTAGTATATTATTTCCCTGTCATATGAAGTTCGTATGCATTGTCAATTGTTTTGTTCGGAATAACGAGAAAGGACACTTCCATGGGAGAATATTGGAGTCCGTCCACAGAAGACTCAGTTCTTAGACGGCAGAGAGGAGCCATGGAAAGGAGTTGTAGTCGATTGGGTAGATCAGGAAGGAGCGTCCGTTGGGCGGTGATTGTGGCTAATTTAGTATTGATAGATAGACACCCAGACACACAGATAGAGAGGCTCTGTATCGACAGGATGAAGAGCGCAGCCCAACCGGAAGGCAAATCACGTCCAACCATGTTTCGAATTCCTCTTATCAGTAGTGTATATATCAAGTTGTCGCACTGCCTTGCTCGGCCTTTTATACTTACTATGCTTCGTACGCCATTGGTCTGTAGATCCCATCCAGCATCTCTTGACGACACCCTGCTACCGGATTGGCCAGCTTTGATGTTACCATTTTTGATCAATCCCGAGGTTTCAGTCACTTTTAAAACAAAATTCCTTAGCGTTACCGGACGTGCACTTGTCCGACAGCAATCTCCTCCCAATCTATTCCCCAGGTTCGGGATAAATCCAACCTCAATATATCGATGAAATTCTGTAAATATTCCCATGGCTAATTTGAAAAGTCAGTTTCTGGCAAACATTTGTTTTCAGTAAGTCTTCATCAGGTTAAACACTTGCGGGGATAATGAAAACTTTACAAAGCAATTCAAGCCTAAACGTTAAGTAAAATCAATAGCTGTCTGACGTGGACGTATTCTTATGAATGCCTTTCTTAGGAGATGCAACAAGCGAGCTGGTCACACTGCTATCACAAACGCATTCCCGTGGCAAACTTTCGTGTGTTCTTCACGAAATCTCCCCTCCTACGATTGAGATGTAAAGACCGACTCGTTTTGAAGGCCAAATCCAGGTGCATGTACTCCTTGACTTGCTCCTGTGGAGCAGGATACATTGCTCGAACAACAAAGTGGCTGGAAAAGAGAGTACGCGAGTACATAACGGCCCCCGTTAAGTAAAGGCGAAGCTTAGTCGATCTCGGACACTATTCTCGCACACTTTGATGATATAAATCATAGACTCGATACTAAGGAAGCCTTTCAGGTTGTCAACCGGACACCTTGTACTTCCGCGGCCCACACCGACGAGCACGTTTCGCTCTCAGCCACTAGTGGCAGTTACTCATCCAACACGCCTATCTCGCCTACTTGCGCAGACTGGCATGGTCCACAGTGGCCATTCATTGGCCACCCATCCCACGTACGCTCCGTCCTGATATGCCCAAGCGACCCCAACTACGCTCCATATATCCGCTCACCGTTGTGCAACTTGAATCTTATGTCGATGGGCTTCAGCCTGACCCATACAAATACCCTACAAAATCAATCGAAAAAAGATTTGGTGACCGTGTTTACCTAGTTGAAGTGGGCTTCCGTCTGCCGTTCGAAATTGAAGAACCTGGCGTGATAATCCTCAATGTTACCTACGAGTACTGACTACCAGACGACAAAGGCCACTCCATGGTCAGTTGGTTTGCACCATCCATGCTCTCTACTGTTGACCGTTTACATGAGCGCTGATGGGTGCACTTCTAATCGCCTAGGAAGCAGTAAACACAAGCTTCGTGTTGACGCCGCGTTTGACAATTTGGGCGTCGTTCAGTACGCTGGTTGTAGGCGAGGTTTACTAGATGGTTAAGGTTAACGTTCATTTATCGTTTTCGAGCATGCACCTGCCTTTTCAACCGAAAGTGACAGCCAACTAACATTCGGCTAAAAAAATAACGTCATAAGTCAAGAGATACAGCACATGGAGAGCAAAGGCAGCAGCTAAAAGCCCAGCTGCCTAAAAATACCTGTTTATACTACTGACAGCCGGCTAGCAGTTAAACATACGTGTCACGGTGTGCACAGCTATAGCTGAAAAAAGTCAAAACGAATTTTTCTATCAGATTTCAGGCTTAACAAAGGCGAAGTCAGGAACATCAACAGTTCCATTCTTGCTCATATGGTGGACTCTGGACACCGTGTTGAGCCGAACGAAGCCTTTAAGGTGATCTACAAGGTCTCACCAGATTACCCGAAGT